CACTCTTTGCAACTTGCAGCTTTATAACAAACAACAGAACTAACCAGCCCTACCAGATCCTGTAAACTTGGGGTCCAGCTCAGAACTGACTAAAGCACCTCCCAGGACTGTAACTGAACCTGGGTCCAATCCCTCAGGGCCTGTGAAGTGCTTTGTTCCCATTCCAGCACCTGCCTCCCACCAACTTCAAAGCTGAATTGAAACCTGCATGAATATTTAGGACCTGGAGGTTGTCATCAGAAAGAAAAATCCCATACTGAAATAGCTGACAACGCTGACACATCTGTCTCATCTCAGATGAGCGGTATATGAGCTAGATACTAGATTCCTCTTGTGGATTGTTCTGCAGTGATGAAAGAAGGAAAACAACACATCCAGCAAAAATAAATAGGCTCCAAAAGGTACTGAGTTAAGAGAGGAGGGGTCTTTCTGGGCTGTGCCCCACTTATGGGGCTGCTGTGGGGATGGAAAGGGGCATGGGGGCTGGGAGAGGAGTACTTGTCAGAGCCAAATGCCATTACTGCAACAGGGAAAAGTTATATAGCTTCTTTTTTTTTTTTTTTTTTTTTTTTTAAATCTTTTCATTATTGAGAGATAAGAGAACCTCCAAATGCAAAAACCTGCTCTCTAATTTTCTCATCTAATCTTTCCTTTTAGGGAAAAAAAAAAAAAAAAGCATATTGAAAAGCAGAATCTAGCTTTTCTCTTTAATTAAAAGGGTCCCCCCTGATCCAAGTTCCAGGTAGGAGACCTGTCCTATAACGGCCATGAAGCTGTTGAGAAACTCCCGGGCAGAGCTGGCTATCACAGCACACAGCTGCCTGATGCAAGGACAAACTTACAGGAGCTGAATTCAGAGTCTCTATGCACAGTGCTGCACTGAGAGCTTCTGCTTCCAGCCTGCATGCTGGGGGAAGCAAGGGAACATGAAGGGATGAGGGCCTGTGATTTATTCAGTTTTAACCCAAAGGTCCCAAGGAAAACTGGCCTTTGTGGTTCAGCTCTGGATCTGTCTCTTTAATAGCTGTGGGCAATTTCAATCTTAATTTGTTGAAGATGAGTGAGATATTTCAGGTTGCTGCAAGTAAAAATATGTGATAAGAGAGGATACAAATCCTGAAATATCTCTGGTGATGGAGGTGGCAACCCAGCCACAGCCCCATTAGGCATCAGAAAATCCAGCTACGCTTTTTCATAACAAACCTATAGGATACTGGACTCCTTTGGTTCTGCTGCTTGAGAGCTTTTTCTCTGTGGGGCTTTCCTCTGGATGAAGCTGATGCTGCATTTGCAGGATGGCTTTTCCTCGCTCCCAGCCTTATTTACATGCAGTCCCTGTTGTGTTCTTGCAACTTCATCCTGCGCTCTTCGGTCCAAAGGATGTTCCTGTCCTCTGGGCACCAGGCTGTGCATACAAAATATCTCACTCAGCATCTCCCTGTGCGTGCTGACAGCATGCAGAGCAGGGGGGACTCAACAACCTGCAGCAGTGCTGCTAGTTGGGGCTCATCCTCCTCTCTGCCCTTCTTGCAGATGACCCCAGCATGCCCTGTCCTGCAGGCTGGCTGCTTCCAGGTTCATCAAAACTAAGTACTCCGCTGGCCAGCACTGCAAAGAGCATTCAGCAGATAGAAGGCATGAAAATCGTGCCAGACAAGGGGAGACTAGATATAATATAGACTAAGCAAAAACAGGCCAGCCTAAATTTGCAGGCAGGCTGGTACGTGGAAGGACTGCTTGTGAACGAAGCTGAAATAAATTATCTGAAAGCGCTGCAGCTTCTCTGTGTGAAGCAATGAGTTTTGGCTGAATGGTTTCAGAGATCTTGAGGGAGATCACCAAAGGCAGGGGGTGCATGGAAGAAGCTCAGCCACGGGCTGTGCTGCAGCTTGGGTTTCTGCATCAGGTCAGCAACATCTGCACGTGCAGAGAGAGCACAGGCCAAGAGAAGGACAGCACATGGTGCAGAGCTCTGTGCAACCCCATCTGCAAAAGCAGCCCAGGCTCACTCTAAAAGTGCAGCTCCAAATGCAGTGGGAGGAGGATGCAGAGGGAGGTGGTTAAAGGAAAAGAGTAGAAAATTCTGGAGACATGGGCCCAGAAATGGAGCAGCTGCAGAATTCCAGCTGTACCTGCATCATTCCCACACCTACCAAGAGTGGGTCAGCACCGGCAGGAAATGGCAAGACCACTGAGGGCTGCTGGGGATGCTGGAAGCATAACTTGGCCTCCAAAGAAGGAGGAATGGGATGGAAGATCCAGCTGGAGGCCAGCAGCTCCCTGGTATCGTGCTGAACCTGCAGGGAAGCTGTGGCTGCTGCTTGAACCCACTACCAAGTATGGAAGGGCAGCAGGCAGCTCGAATTCACCCAGCTCAGCATCTGAAGCACAGGTTCCACTTGCAGTCTTGCAGCTGCCTCATCAATATTTTAGAACAGCCCAAATGCTTGCTGAATCAGCCAATCAGCTCTGGCAGCTTAACGAAACTCACTTAAATAATTAACAGCACACAGCCAGCCTGGTGGTTTCTCAAACACCTGATGGGCTGCACCATGGGAGAGCCAGCCCTGGTGCTCTCTGACTTACCTGCAACCTCCAGTTGCTATCATTTCCCTCCTGAGCTTTAAGCTTTGGGTAACACAGTTGTGTTTGCAAACTCCAGTCCCCAGAGAAACAGCAGTAAGCACTTTGCAGCTCCCTGCTCTTGCTGTAGATTTGCTGTCAGGCAAAGCTTTGAAACAGAAGGGCCACTGGTTTGCATCTCCCGTCCCTAATTATCTCTGCAGAAGGATTTCAGGTCTGTTTCCACGAGATGGCATTGCTGAGGCTGGTACGGAGAGGAAGCAAGGAGGACAGGGATGGGAAACACCACCATTTAAAATAAAATAGCTAGGAAAAAAAAATCTGAGCTTTCAGTGAGGTCCCAGCACACCTGAGCATGGCAGGGAGGGAAAGTTGGTGTTTTAAAATGCATTTCCCCAGCACAGTTCTGTAACTTCATCATCGTCACCACCTGACACAGGCAGCACCACACCTGCCTGCTTTATGCACAGTGCTGACGGCTCACGAATCAACTTCTGTTTGCTGCAGGGCTTGCTGAAAACCATCTGTGGCCCCGTTCAGAGTCATGTTGGGTTGCTTATTGTTTTGCTAGAAGCCCACAACGGGTCAGTCCCAGCCCAGAATAAGTGAACCATCCCCCTTGCCTCCTGGGGTTGGGCAGTGATTGACCAGGTCCGTGATGAGTCTTTGCACCTGAGGTTTGGGTGGAGGCAGAATGTGGTTTCATTCTGCTCTGAGTCGTGACCCCTAGAAGTTTTTCAATCTTCTGCTTTGAAATGGGTCTACATCAGAACATTTCTGTTTATTTTGGCTCTGCCAGAGCCCAGCTTAAGCCTCCCAAATGAGGCATCTCCCTTCAGGCCCCATATCTTCTTTCAAACCTTACAGATTATCCAGGGTACCAACTGCACAGAAGTAGAGCTGAAATCTTGAACCTGCTGTGAGCCATGAGCAAATCTGAGTTAAACCCTCAAGGTTTTAATTTTCCCTTTATGCAGCTACGCCGTTAATTACTGCACTGCTTGTGCATCGCTCCCAGAGCATCTTCACAGCTCCCCTGCTGTATTTCTATGGAAACGTACCCGTGGCTTTGTCAAGCTTGTTTTTGCTTTTAAAATAGCTATAGAGGACCAAGTTTGGACCTTGTGTCTCATCATGTCTCTCATCTGACCCCAAGGTCCCTGCTGCTCCAGGACCAGCTCCTGTTGGGTACAGGAGAGCAGGAGACACTGCACAGCACAGCAGCCATGTTCCCATGGGAGTTCCTGTCCCCATTCCTAAAAGATGGGGGAAAGCTGTGCATGGAGTGAGGTTCTGCCATCCTGCTTGGAAACAGCAGTGAGTACAAAGAAGAGCCTTGGTGCACTGTGAGTGCAGTTTTGAGGAAGGCAGCACCGTGAGCTGGCACAGAATTGTGGTGGCTTGGGGCTCTGCTGGGGCATGCAGCACTGCAGAGCATCTGTTATTAACGAGGTGCTTCTGCAACATAAACAGCAATGATCCCTGCGCCTTCGGGGCCCTCCTAGGAAGGAGGTGGCACATTGCCATCCTTCACCTTGCATCCTCTGCCTCTACTTCTCCTAAGCACTGCTTTACGAGCGCAGGATGATGCCCTGGTGTGCTGCCAGCCCCACCTTCAAGGAACAAACCTTAGAGATGTCCCCAGAGCACTATGGCACAACGTGAGCAGCCCCTCGCACCTCCTCTACCTTTGCACTCAGCATCATAGAATCATAAAGGTTGAGAAGACCTCTGAAACTAGTCCAACCACCAACCCATCCCCACCATGCCCACTAATACACACCCCATCCTTTGGTCAGTCCTAAACACCCCCCAGGTGCAGCCTTTGGGTTCAGGCATCCTGTGCTGTGTGGGTACATCTTCTCCTGCTCTACAGGTTTGCAGTGAACACAGGACACAGTCCTGGGTGGACACCCTGAATTCTGGGGCTCTGGGCAGCCACTGGGCACCTCTGCCCTCTGCTTATGGCTTTGTTTGGGTTAGAAAGGCTCCTGGGGGATCTGCTGCGGATGAGGGAAGGAAATATATGGAGTAGAGGCAGCTTTGGACACTTCTCCCCAAATTATTAAACAGTATAAAAGTGATATTGCTAGCTTTTCAAGGAGACGTGGGTGTATTATTTTCTCCCTTTTAGTGGAATAATATTAGGGATTTAACTCAAGCTTATTCAGCATGGAAAAGATAATAATTAAGGGTCATGATAATTGATATTAGAGAGTGGAGCAGGTTAAGAATATCAAAACTCCACTGCAAGAGCCCCTGCTGTATGCCAAGGAAATGAGCCCATAAACCTGGTCTAGGTTGGGTGCCCACGGGTGCTTCCATCCCTGCCTGTGGCCATCCCAACATCTGCCCCAAGCAGACCCAGAAAACCAGCCCCTCTCAATGACACACACACACACACAGAGCTCCACACCTTTGGGGTTGGTTGGTTTGGTTTTTTTTGTTGTTGTTGTTGTTGTTGGTTGTTTTTGTTTTGTTTGTTATTTTTTTCCACTGTGGATGTTGTACCAGTTTTATTGGTAAAATTAACATGAAGCCTCACAAACGCTGGAACATGCTTTTCCTTTTAAAGAATTTCCACTGGACCTTAATGGTGAGCATCCAGTCGTTGACATATAAACTCTTACAAGCTGATGTGCACACATGCGCCGGGGGGAGACGGTGGCAGCGTCCTGGTGTCAGGGATGGTTTCTGCGCTACGCACTGGGAGCCCACGATTCATTTGCCAGCCTTCTGGGCCTTCTGGGCAGACTTGGTGACTTTGCCGGCCCCGCCGCTCTTCTTCTCCACGTTCTTGATGACGCCCACAGCCACGGTCTGCCGCATGTCACGGACAGCAAAGCGGCCTGGGGAATGGAAGAGGATGAGTGATGTGCCTGTGCCACCCTGTGAAAGGCTCCGATTCTTCCCCTGATCAGTTTTTGTGTCAGGGTATAGATAGGGAAGCTGAGAAACACTCCCGCACAGTGCCGTGTTGCAGCAATTCCCAGAGGGAAAACCCAGCTCAGGAGAGAGCCTGTCCCACCCCTCTAACCCAGCTCATGGTGAGACTTCACAGATGGAGCAGCAATGGAACACGTGCACCTCCCTCTGCCCCCTGTCTGACCAGTGGGAGGTTCAGCATGACCAGTGTGAGGTCTGCGCCCAAGCAGCCTCCCTGCTCCTCCACGGGACACCACGCAGGAGCCATTCCCTTACCAAGAGGTGGGTACTGGGAGAAGCTTTCCACACACATCGGCTTGCCAGGAATCATCTCCACGATGGCTGCATCGCCTGATTTCAGGGATTTGGGGTTGTCCTCCAGCTTCTTGCCGGAGCGCCGGTCGATCTTCTCCTTCAGCTCAGCAAACTTGCAGGCGATGTGTGCGGTGTGGCAGTCGATGACAGGTGAGTATCCGGCACTGATCTGCCCGGGGTGGTTCAGGATGATCACCTATGGGACACAACAAGGTCCAAAGGGTCTTGGCTATGGGATCTTGCACAGCTCGGTGCCAGCAAGGACCAGCAAGTTTGGAAAATCAACGCCATCACGTGCCACACACAGAAAAGAGCTAATTGGCTCTCATGGCAGAATCCTTCCTTTGTTTAAAGCATTACTTAAGCTATTATTTATTTATTCAGAACACAGAAGGACAAGGGTGTAGGTACCTCACTGTGAGAGGTTATCTAGTCCTGCTCTTCTCCAGCTGCATTTGGGAGAGGGAGCGACCATTTTCATGTGCACCAGCATGAAAATTTCAAAGACAAGGCTTAACCCCCAGGAAATCTCTAAAATGTCCAGCTTTCCCTGGTGGTTACGTTGTTCCCCAGGGCTTTATCTCCTTGATATCAGCTGTGCGAGGCTGTGAGCTGTTGGATGTTGGGGACAGAATGGAATGGAGTGGAATGGAACAGAACAGAATTCTAATCAGCTAACCTGAGACGTGAACTGTGCTGCCTCCTGCGGCGGGTCTGACTTGCTGTCCCCACAGACATTCCCACGGCGGATGTCCTTGACGGAGACATTCTTCACGTTGAAGCCAACATTGTCTCCAGGCAGAGCCTCGCTCAGTGCCTCATGGTGCATCTCCACCGACTTCACCTCAGTGGTGATGTTCACAGGTGCAAAGGTGACCACCATGCCGGGTCGCAGGATGCCAGTCTCCACTCGGCCCACAGGAACTGTGCCAATTCCTGCAGGGGCAAGGAGAGATCAGAGCAGAATGTCACACACGAAGCACACGATGGGCAGCATGGCATCTCCAATGGCTGTTATCAGAGACTACATTTGTTTCTCGACAAACAAAAAATCAGTTATTAGCTGCAAGATCAACTTTTAGGGTCTTCAAAAATATAGTTAATCAGCGCTTTCTACTCAATGTTTTGTTAAAAAAAGAAGAAAAATGTGGGGTTGCATCATAGTTTAAAGGCCATGAGCAATTACATGCCCTGGAAATTTTTCCTTCGCAGCAGCCATTCCCTCCTGTGCAGAGGACCAGGAACATTGCAGCGTGTGTGCAAAACTAAACTAAATTAAGTGAATGGGACATTCTGCACTTCGTGTCAACACGAGATTTGAGGAAAAGTCACCTGTAGATTGATATGAAGAAACATTAAGAGAAAAAACCTGCAGAAGAGGCTGGTGGGATCCATCCACTTTTCCACACCAACTCTGTTGCCTTCAGTTCCACCCTTCCCACAGTGTCTCTGCTTTCTAAGGACCTGCCCAATCCCATGGCAAAATCCTGTCTTTCCCCCAGCTGAGACAGAAAAGGATGCAGAGCTGCCCACCATCCCTCATCTCTGTTGCAAACAAAAGCTTGCATTAAAATGCTTACTAAAAGTGAGGGAGAACCATTCTACATGGCCAGTTTCTGCAATGCACGTGCTCTTTGAAAAGTATGGAAAGGGCTGGAAATGCCTCTGCAGGGCTGCCCAGGTGCTGCCAGCAGGACAGAGAGCAAAAGGATATTTAAAGCCCTGAGAAGTGCCCACGTCACTGTCCGTGTTCCCTAAAAGGCTGGTCCCGTGGTGCAGTTGGACACATGGAGGTGCTGCTGATGGACACCAGCATTTGGGAGCATCAATGACCACAGCCAAGCAGAATCTCATTCTTGGCTGGTCTCCACCTGGTTCTACCAGCTGTGACCTCTGAGACACCCAAATCTGCAGCCATTTTGGCATCGTGTTCACTGAGGAGAGCTCACTGCTTTCCTCTCACATCTCTAGGCATCTTTGGGCGCATCTGCCTCCAACCCAAAGTCTCACATGGAGTCTCTGCCCTGGAGCAAATACCCTTCTCCCTAGTATTATTTGAATTTCAAGAAGTCCAATCCCTCCAGCTTCCCAATACCTGGAAACATCATCCCCAATCCCTGTGGAAGGAAGTCTACAATTAAAAAGAGTCACACTGATGGTAGCTCACCTCCAATTTTGTAGACATCCTGGAGGGGCAGGCGCAGGGGTTTGTCTGTGGGGCGGGTTGGGGGCAGGATGGTGTCCAGGGCCTCCAGGAGGGACACCCCGCTTGCATTGCCTTCCTTGCGTTCCACCTTCCAGCCTTTGAACCAAGGCATCTGCAAACAGAATAGCAACGGTATGCATTGAGCGTGCCTGTCCTCAGCACCCTGAGATGGTCCCACTGAAGTGTCCTACTAGGACAACTTGTGTGGAGCTAGTTTAGCTGCAGCCTGGATTTATTTGGGTTTGTTAAGGTCTTTGCGTTACACCATCTCTGCATGTTCACCTGCATCCCTTCATCCAGCCCCATCTCCATTCTCTCCTCTCTCCTAGAAACATGTGAAACATCCATGAGCAGAAGAAAAAGGATGAAAGTGGTTAAACCCAGCAAACCTGCAGCCTCCATTCCTAACCCAAAGGTGTTGCCTTCCCACGCCAGCCACATGTATCCAGCCCTCAGCACAGGGACTGAAGAGCCATCGAGTTTCCTCAAAGCTGCTGAGAGGCAGGATTGTTTGTCACAGATAATTCTGCCCAGCATCGGATCCTTGGGTGCTATTTGTCTCCCAAAGCACACCATTGCACAACAAAACTTTGCTCATCCCAAATCCATTTCCCAAGAGCCATAACTATTCCACAGCTCCATGGCAGAAACAGGGTCTGACGTAACACAGTCTGACAGGTTGTGTGTTAACCCAGTGTTGTCAGCCATGGGTGCTGCAAGCTCAAGCTCCCCTCATTAACAGCTGAGCTTTAATTCCTAATGCACTCCAATTTCATTTTATAAAGCAGTCACATCTCTCCAGTTTTGCCCACTCTGTGCCCCATACATCCCAACCTTGCATCACAGATGAAGTGTATTTGGGCTACAGTACCCCTCAGAGCAAAAGACTCCAAAACCCACCAGTGGCCTCATTCTGTCAGCTGCAGCAACAGAAAGCCAGCATAATGCAAAACTCCACTTGCCAAAAAGCTAGAAAATGTCAAACTGTCATTTTTTTGGTTAGCCTAGCAATTCTGTGCATCAGGGCCATTGGCTACATTCTCCCATGTAGGGCTGCCTCCAGCCCCATGACCATGCAGCCTCATGGGATGCAGCTGCTACACCACTGCACAAGCATAGAATCACAGAATGGCTTAGGTTGGAGGGGACCTTAAAGATCAACTAGTTCCAACCCCAACCCTGGCTGTCTGTCCCCTGATGGATGGACAAGCCACCTGGCTGCCTCTTGCTCTAGTGAAACTCAGCTGGAAATATGCAAGTGAGAATAATCAGAGCTTTTTTGGGGGGTGAGGAGTAGGAAGATAGAGAGATTTGCACTGGATTCCCACCCAAGCTTTCCTAGAAGTAGTGCAATGTGGGGAGATGGACTCTGTCCCCACAAAGGTGGGAGGGAACCCTGAGAACCACATCATGGGATACAGAATATCCATGCATCCTTTCAGCAGAGTTTCCCTGGACTCCCAGCCCGCAGCCAGTTCTTCCCCCCCTGACTCTCCCAGCCTCCCATCTGAGGTACAAAGTCAGTGAGGCCCTTCCTGCCCTGTGCCTCCCCTCTGCAGCCTATTAATAGCGAATTGTTCAGGATCATCTTCCCTGCTCAGCAGCTGCTGACATTTGGAGCCTGATTTGGAGGCACCCAGGAACTATGCAGCTGGGCTTGGCATGACCGTAGCTGACCTTATCCTAGCTCCATTCTACAGGGGAAAGGAATCTCCCAAAAACCCACTTGTTGCAAGCTAGCCCTAAGCTTCTCATGAGCTGTCTTTCCTGTGCAAGGCTGTGAGCTACATGCCAGGTTGGTGTGAGGTTGCATTGTAGCACTCCTCTAGTTCAGGCTCTCAATCCCAATCTCCCTTGGCTGTACTTTGACACGTTGCCTCCCTCTTTTTGGAGTGCTGACCCCAAATCCTCAAGTGAAGTCCTAAATCTCCCTGAAGTGTTGAGTTTCCAGTTGGTTTCCCAAGGTACCACTGTTTCAGCACTGAGCAACTTGCTCGAGGTCAAAAGACCCTCTTTAGTCTTCAGAAGACTGAAGGTGGGGGAGCTTTTTCTCCAAAAAGAGATATGAGTAACGACTGCTATTGGCATCTGGTCTGACAAAGAACCCCCATGCCTCTTCAATCTCTTCTTTCTCCTTTGCCATCATATGAAAAAATAGCGCCCTATCATTTTATCATCAGCACTGATACACAAAGGGAGAGGCTACTTTGGAATCAGCTGGCCAAGGAGAAACCCCAAATGGATGCTCAAGGAAATCATGGTACCTTCCCATGCAAAAATTGCCTTAAAAATTGGAGTCCCAGCAGTGGAACATGGGTGCAGCTGATACGGCACCGATGCGAAGAAGCGCCCAATATGCAGCACGTGTTAGCCCGGCTGTGCAGCGGGAACTGCTCCAGCCCTGCAACCAGATCGTGTTGTTTGCCTGGCAAAACAATGCCCTAAAACCACTCATGTTGTTCCTGCTGAGCATGACAATTGCTCTGGCTGGCTCTAACGTCACCACGGGCCTGGCGAAGCGAAATTCTTAAATCAGATCCCAGAAGCACGGCCCTACAGATCATGCGAGGATGCTCACGGAAAGCCACTGGGATGTCTGGCCACGGTACAACAAGAAGCATGCACACTGTGCCCATTCATCCCAGCACAATCACAGCGACGTGACAAACATCTACACCAGCAACGTGGGCCATTGTGGATGACGGGTGCAAGAAGCACGCCTGTGGCTTGCACAGCACCAAAACCAACCTCAGCCTAGATGCAGACATTCAGAATGGGGGAACAGCACGACACAACAACACACTTACATTGGGGGATGGCTCCAGCATGTTGTCCCCGTGCCAGCCCGAGATGGGCACAAAGGGAACGGTGGCTGGGTTGTAGCCAATCTTCTTGATGTAGGCGCTGACCTCCTTGACAATCTCATCATAGCGCTTCTCGCTGTACGCAGGCTCCGTGGAATCCATCTTGTTGATGCCCACGATGAGCTGCTTCACCCCCAAAGTGTAAGCCAGCAGGGCATGCTCACGGGTCTGCCCGTTCTTGGAGATGCCAGCTTCAAACTCACCAACGCCAGCAGCAACTATCAGCACGGCGCAGTCAGCCTGGGAGGAGAGAGATGATGAGCTGCTGCTGTCCCTGAGAATGCTGCTCCTGGGAGCTCTACATCCCAAAGGGAACATTACTCAGAATGAACATGCCTTAGGCAGATGCCTTGCCAGCTGCTACCCAAAACCCTGCTGATATAACATGGGTCAGGGTTGAGGTATTTTATTCTTGCCAATTATGAATGCTTTCGCAATATGTTAGACAACAGGATGGATCTTTCTAAGCTATGTGGATCGAACCAGGACCTCATCTCGACATCCCATGGTTGCGGGGCCAAAGCCTCACCTAAAACCTCACTGAAGTCTTTCCAAAAATCTCTATGGTTGATGGAGGAGCTCCCACAGCTTACTCCTGTCCTCAGAGTCAATGACAGAAGCTGTCTGCCTTCGGCAAAAGGCGTGCACTACCCAGGTGGCATCAAGGGACATGCAACAAGGCTCACCCAGTGCCCATGAAGGGATCTGGGATGCAGAAATGCCCTGCAGTGCAGTGCAGCACAGCAGGGAGAAGCTACCTTGCCCTGGGGACACAGACCACAGTTTGACATTGTGGTGTGGTTTATGGAACAAAGATGGCTGTTTTGAGAAAAAGTAAAGAGAAAAGGCCCACTGAGTCTCATCTGGCCAATAAAACCTAATGGTCTGTGGGAAGCTTCTTGTTTGCCTGAGTTGTCTGAGGCTAAAACAACATGGGAGACATTCTCACTAAAAGACCTATAGCTCACATCATCCTGTTGCTTCTCAGAGTCATTCCCCAGCTCATACAAGTAAGGGAAGTGCCGTAGCACTCCTTTTTGCCCAAGGAAACCCTTTCCTCAGCATCCAGAGAGAGATCTGGTGCCACCTCTTGCACGGATCCTGCTCACCACCACACACTGGTGCCACCTCAGCCTCCCACATCCAGCAGCTCCTGGCCTCCCGTTCTCACCTGGGATGTGCCTGTGATCATGTTCTTGATGAAGTCCCTGTGGCCGGGCGCATCGATGATGGTGATGTAGTACTTGGTGGTCTCGAATTTCCACAGTGAGATGTCAATGGTGATGCCACGCTCACGCTCAGCCTTCAGCTTGTCCAGCACCCAGGCGTATTTGAAGGACCCTTTCCCCATCTGTTCAAGACAAAGGCAAGAGCTGATCAGATCCCCAAAACCAGGGCACCTCTCACTAATGGAGCACATTCCATTTCCCATAGCCATGAAGGCAAAAGGTCTCACTGCAAACCCCCTAAAGTCAATGGCAGCCACAATCTATACATATAATCTATACAAGGAAAGGAGATATGGTTCTAAACACATTCCCTAGTAGGATGGAGAAGAGGTTGGAAGCAGAGCTACGAAGAGGATTCATGGTGGGACTGGATAAGAAGCTGGAGCCAAGACCAGCAATGTCTCCTCTATGAGATGCCACAACCCTGCAGGGCTGCTGTGAAATCACATTGATACAGAATTACACAGCAGTGCTGGAAAGCTTCTTGCTGCTGTGTTTTAATCTTTTAAGTGAACATGAGACAGCTGGATAGAGGGAAAAGCCATTGCTAAGCGAGGGAGCCCCAGACTAACAGGACGCAGAGGGAGAATGGGTTAAAAGACAACGAAATGCAAGAGGGTTGCTAGGAGCTGAACAGAAACTTGATTGATTTTTGCCACAGAGTGTGTGAATTTACACGAAAAGCGACTGCGAGCTGCAGTCAGACCAACTGTCACTGCCAAATGGCCAAAACCCCAGCCAACATTGTCATGTAGAAAATCACGCTGGGTGAGACGAGCCACTGAGAATCTCTCTGCCCTGCAATAAAGCACACACCCTGGTAAAATCAGGATGCTGCTTCCTTTGGGTCGGTGTCCATTGACGCCACCAAGCAGAGCCAGACCTTCCCCAGGCTCTTAACAGGGATCCTGCATAGACGGGGGAGGACAAGCTCAGCCGTGCCCCACGGTAGCCCAGGTGGACCAGAGGATTAACATGTGTCGATCACCAGATCTTGGCTGGAGAGGCAAGTTTTCTAAGGTGGAAAATAGAATTCAGCTAGAGAAATAGGTCATTTGCTGATGACGTAATGTGCTGTAACTGCCTCGCAAGGACGGAGGTGCTGTACCACGGTCCCACGTCTGCAGCAGCGATTTCTTCTGGAGCATCAGTGCATAAAACTCATAATGGGCCATTATAGATCACCGATCCGGAGGGAAATGCCTCCTGCTGGCAGGCAGCGAGCGCTCCAGTGCTTCTCACTGGGGAGGATGCTGCAGCACCGCACCCAACGCACCCTGCCTGCACCGGGATGGGATCTCTGTGCCCCACATCCCTCCCGCATCGCAGCCCCGTGCCAAAGCAGCACGAGGAATTAACGATGCCAGCCCCTTTATGTAACAGCCGAGCGCTGCGATGACTTTGCAGCTTGCTCGGGGTGGGGGAGGGGGATTACAGCCAAAATCCTAAAGCCAGAGCAGAGCAAACCTCCCCTTCCTCAGAGAGAGTGCTGGGTGATGCCGCAGCCCCAGCGGGCAGCCCCGAGCTCTGTGCCTGCAGGAGCAGGGGGTGGAAAAATCCAGAATCACATCTTTGCTTCAATATGGCAAAAGATGCAGAGCGGGAGCTGGGAGGTTAACCCTCTCCAGCATGCACACCCACTCTCTCCCTTGCTGGGGGATATTTAGGGCATCATTAGAGCGTGCTAATTTACTGCCCAAGCCAAGAGGAGGGTTAAGGAAAAAGAGATTTATTTTGTGCAGTGCATTAATAATGAGGCTCGCTCAGGCAGGAGCTCAACCAGCAAACCCCACAGCCTTTCAGCCATCAGCACTACGCTTAGGGGTGGGAAACCTGAGGCACAGAGAAGGCCCCAGGGTGCAGCTGGTTGTGGGAGCACCCGGCTTATCCTAAAACCTGGCATTTCCTCATAGGAAGCACAGGGATCCATAGCCAACCAAAAGCTGTCTATTCTGTGTCCCCCCTCCAGAACGTGCAGGACATAACCTGAAGGCAAGCGAGATCCTTTATTTAGCAAACAGCTCCCTCCTTCCATAGGGTATATTCAATTACCCAGAGCTGTTGTTGAAAACCAAAAACAAAAAACAAAAAAAACCCCACTGCATTATCTAGCATTGCACAATACCTTCACTGTTTGGTGTCAGGACTGCCTGAATTTCCTCCAGCAGACCCAGCAAAGGGACAGCTTTCTATTTGGAGAACACAAATACTGTTGGTTTTTGGGTTTGGAGTTTTTTTTTTTCTTTTTCTTTTTTTAAAGAGGAATTTCAAAATTCCTCCCTTGGAGATACTGTTCCTTCTGCCCTTGAAATCAAGAAGAAAACTAAAATCTTTTCTCTTAGGAAAAAGAAAATAATACGAAACCAGCCTGTGTTCTCTGATAGCTTTTTTTGGGTGCACGCAGGCCTCCATTTCCTGAGAATGCCACCTAATGGAAGAAAACCCTTCCCCAGCCCTGCATCAGAAAATGGAGTCGGTAAGCTCAGTCAATAGGCTATTAATAGCAGCTCCAGTCCCCGCATATTCTGGCAAGTCAGGGGAAATGTCTGCTCAATTAACACAGCTGCAATCATGTACGTGATAACCTCATCGTGCCATACCTGATCTGGAGGTAAGGGGCTGGACATACATCAAGGGGTAGCAGCGATCATTTTAAAATGAAGGAAAGAGAGAGGGTTTTATTCTAAGGAAGAGGCTCTGCTCTTAAGGGCGGCAAGAGAAGACTGACAATGAGGCAGGAGAAGGGGTGGTGTAGCTCAGATGCTATTGGCACATTCAAAGGGTTCAAGCAGACAGACAGCAAGATGTACTGTCAGGAATGGCAGCTCTGAAGGCTTCTTTCTTTATTTTTCCTCTCTCTCTTTTCTTTTAAATGTGAGGTTTTGTCCAGAAAATATTAAGGGATGTCTGCATTAAAGATTTATGGAAGGTTCATGACATGATGATGATGAGACATCTTCTGACCAGAGCTGCCCCATGGGTAACACGGCCAGCCTGCTCCTGGCTCACCCACCTCTCTAGAATTTACCATCACTTATTTTCCCAGCTCTTATCACTTATTTTCCCAGCTCTTCCCATTTGCAACATTCTCCTCTGTCCCTCAGAATATTTTTTCCTCTTTGATCTGTGCCACATTACAGGCGTTGGGTGGTGCTTTGCAGCACGACAGCCTGAGAAATGCCTGCACTACGACATTGCTACAGATGTCACCATTTGAGAAGCTAAACAAAAGAATTCAGCTTAAATGTCTATACTCCATGCCTGCTTTCCTATACAGAAGGCTACCAATCAACCTCCATTAAGGGGATGGATCTTTAGCCACGTGGACCAAATTCATACTCCAGCTGATGCTGGTTGCACCATAAGGCTGGAAGGACATGTTATAGGGTGAAATTCATGGTCGTGCACAGGGCAGGGAGGGATTTATGAGGTTTTTCCTCCTCATGCACAACATTTAGGGGGAATTTTATGTCCTATTGCACTGTGGCTCTCCCAGAATCCTCGCTATTTCTGCTAGCACCGCAATCCATCTTCCAAATCCCCAGGTGGTGGGATCAGCTTTGGGGCAAGCACCCAATGGACCAATGGGCCGCAGGAGCCGGAAAGACTTGGGATGCAGAGGGAATAAAGAGATGGGAACACAGGTAGGAAGGTACGAGAACGGCATCACTGGGAGAAGGGGCGCATTGCCCATGGGACATCAGCATGGAGCAGGGGACACGGCGGGGCTCATTCTCCTCACCTCGGCAGCCTCCTTCTCGAATTTCTCAATGGTCCTTTTGTCAATGCCCCCACATTTGTAGATGAGGTGCCCGGTGGTGGTGGATTTCCCAGAGTCCACATGCCCGATGACGACAATGTTGATGTGCGTCTTCTCCTTCCCCATGCTGGTGGGCTACGTGTGGAGGGCGGGCGGTGGGGGGAGCACTGGGGATGCAGCTGAGTTTATGGAGAGGCTGTAAAGGGTAAAAAAAGGCAGCGTCAGCACAGCCCCCATGACAGCACTGCCAGTCCAGACGGGGCTGCATAGCCGTGGCTCGATGGCTCTGCTCATGCTGGGTCAGATCCAGCCCACCCCTAAAGGAGACTGGCCAGTCTGGCCAACACTTCCAGTCTCCAGCTCTCAGCAAGATACCACGATTTTATCATCTGCCTTCCTGGAGACCCCCAGCTCCCAAGGCTACGTCATCGGTACCTCGAAGGTGCCCTTCCTCCATGAAAAAAAAAAAAACCAACACCAACCTTCCGATGGCTCTGCACTGCTTCCTTCTAGGTCTTTCCAAACCCTATTCCATTTCCAAACCTTCCATTTCATGGACACTCTGGGAGGAGCCATGGGTGCCCATCCCCACTGGGTGTCTTCACCTCTTGGGTGACAACATGGTGCCCAAAAAACGGGACGGACAAAAATAGCCCTCTCACTCTGCCTGAGCTGGGCTGCAAAGAGTGGGGCAGGGCAGCACAGCTGAGCCTGCTGTGGGAGATTTTGTGGTATTTTGCTGCCCTGAATCTGGATGAAACAGAGGGAGGAGGCTTAAAACGAAAATCAATAGATCTGTTCTGGCATCTCCCAGGGTTACCATGGTGCCGCAGCTGCTACAGAAGCTCTGCACAATTAGGAGCTTTAATTTCACGTCTAATAAAATCCAATTTTATGAAGCTGCCCATAGAAGCAAAGCAGGTCGGGGGCAACTTTCCTTTCACACAGCGATTCGGGCGGGTGGTGATAGCCCCGCTGCCCCCGGCCCTCCTCCCTGCCCTTGAACGACTGCAGGATCCGGCCATGGCGCAGCCCCGCTCAGGTGCCCGGCGTCGGCTGCGCTCCCTTCTGAAGCGGGGGATTCCTTTATTTTCATTTACCGTTTCTTTTCTCTCTCTTTTTCTTTTTTTTTTTTTTAAATTTTTTTTTTCCCCCTTTTTCTTCGGGTTTTTTTTTTTTTTCCTCCCCTTTCTAATTTATCTTCATTTATTTTCACTTTTTCCTTTAATTTCAACGTTAACCTTTTTCCTTTCCTCAAGCTTTCAGGATGCAAGCTGTTTCCCACCTGCGGGCTGAAGGAGCGGCCCAAGCCCATCCTCTCCCTCCATCCCAGCCGTCTCCCCTCGATGCCAGCAGCACCCCATGCACACGCATCGTACCCCCGCCCCAGCAACCCCCCCTTCAGCCAGGTCTCCCCTCCCCCCCCCCCGTTCCGAGCAGCCCGATCCCGGGGGGAGCTGGAGCTCTTACCGGAGCGGCGGTCGGGGCGGCAGAGGCTGCCAGCTTGGGCTCCGGCGGCTTTATCTCCCCGGGAGGGGCCCACCTATTGACGGCGGCAGCGCAATGCAGCGGCCCCCCCCGCACTACGGCAATGCGGTACCGGGCGGGGGAGGAGGAGGAGGCGAGCCAGGGGGAGGAGGAGGAGGAGGAAGAGAAGGAGGAGGAGAGAGCAGGGAAAGACGGAGGGGGAGAACTGGAGATGGAAGGTAGATGGAAGAGGTGGAAGAGTGGGAGATGGAGGGATGGGGAGGAGATGGGGGATAAAATAAAGGGATGGGAAAAAGATGGAGGGACGGGAGAAACGGAAGAAAGCTGGAGTAGTGGAGGATGTAGGGATTGGAGGTAAAGGGATTGACTGGAGGAATAGGGGGATAGGGGAAATAGAAGGATGGGAGGAGAGATGGAGGAGCAGTAGACAAATGGGTGGGAGAGGTGGAAGGGTGGGAGATGGAGGGATGGGAGGAAGAGGGGGATAAAGGGATGGGAGAAATGGAGGGAGAGGGAAATAGAGGGTTAGGAAGAGTGGAAGTATAGGAGAAATGGAAGAGAGATGGAGAGAGGATGCAGACAGAAGGATGAGAGGTAAAGAGAAGGGAGGAAGATGGAGGGAGGGAGGGAGAAATTGAACAATAAGAGGAAAAGAGGAAAGAGAGAAACAGAAGAGATGGAGGGATGGGAGGAAGATGGAGGGATGAGAGAAATGGAGGGGAGGCAGAGAAGGAAGGATAAGAGGATGGAGGAATAGGAGAGGTGGAAGAAGGAGATGAAAGGATGGGAACAGGTAGGAAGGAGACAGTGGGATGGAAGGCAGAGGAATGGGAGGAAGGTGGAGGGATGACAGGTGGAGAGCCAGGAGAGATGTAGAGATGAAAGATGAAGGTAGGAGAGGGAGGGATGGAGCAGATGGAGAGATTAGGGAGGTGGAAAGCAAGGAGGAAGATGGAGTGATAGAGGGAAATAGAAGAAAGTTTTTTTTGTAAGTGAGTGGAAATGATGGAGCTCCTCATCCAGGGGGATCGGGGCAGGTGGAGACCAAGAGGGGCTTGGAATCCTCGTGGCAGCCTGGGAGTGAAGGGATGGAGTGGGCATGGAGCCCAGGGCTCCCAGCAAGTGAGATGGGGGACAGGTCATTGCAGGGACACACATGTCCCTGGGCACAGTCCTGGTGGGCACTGACCCACATTTCTGCCTCAGTGGAAATGCATTAGCCCAGGAGCAAACAGTGAAGGAACAAATTGAGCAAAATATGTTTCTGCACTTGCAATATGTAGGGCTGTTACTCAAGAATCTGTGGTTTGTGAACATCATTGAATTTAATGGGAGATGTGGTTCAAGTCCTGGGACAAGGAAACCATGAATAATGTCCTACTGTCCTACCATGACACTTCCTTTGCATTAACAAATATCAGGTGGTGGCCAGAGTATTTATACCCATGTCAGCTGTGCAGTTATAAGGCAATGCAGCATTTTCCCAACACCAAAAACAGGTCAAAACTTTGAGAGTGAATTTTGAGTTAATCTATGTAATAATCCAAACGAGTGGGCCAGACATCTTCCAGTGGGTTTAGCAGCTAAGTCATGTGCTCTCACTTCACAGTCTCGGGGTTAAACACGCATCATGTAGATTAAAATGGTACTAAGCTCTCATTAATGTTTAAAGGCAGACTTTTCTTTTTTTCTGAATGTTATAGTTTGGTGGTATTTTCTTAGAGGTGTGATAGGAAGATATCTGTTGTGCAGTATTCTCTGTGCAATACTGAGTACTAGGGGGAAAAATAATAAGTAAAATTAGACTTTTAGAAGGAAGGGTTTAAATGGTATTTAAAGGCATTGAGCTCATTTTGGGATGGGAGCAGTGGCATAACCCCAGGCCTGGATGTGCTGGAGATGGGCATCGAATGTGGCAACGCATAGCAGAGATGGGCGTACAAGTCCCTTGTTCTTCCTGCCCATTTATCAGTGCTTTGCCAAAAAATAATCTCCCCTTTTTATGCAAGGACAGGCAGGAGGCACAGAAACGGGGCTGCCTGTAGCTGCAGCACAGCAGAGCCCGACAGCCCATCACACTATAAATAGTGCAGGACAGGAATAGGAGAGAGCTGCCAGACCTGGCTAATCGGGATGAGGGGCAGCCACCTGACACCCGGCCTCCCAGGGACTTAAAGCCACAGCCGTGTGCTGCAGAGCAGGGCTTCCCCTGTACCTGCATCCTGAGCAGAAGTTCTTCACTACAGTGTTGGACCAAACAACTGGAAATTAGTTCTCATCCACCTTCAATTCTCAGCTCTGTGAAGGAGAAGAGACCTGAGCAGGCAAAACGTGGAGTGACTGGGAGTTCAGAGCCTTGTTTTCATCTTTCCAGCTTCAGATTTGGGCTCAGCTGAAACAGCTCCCCTATATCCCATCGTATTTAGGCTTTCTCCAGAAAAGCCATCCCCAAACAATTCGGGATCACTCAAGAAAATGGAGACCTCCCCCAAAGGCCATTCAAAGGTGCTGCGATGGCAACTGGCAGGATCCTGTATCCCTTTTGTTATCACCTCCACTCCTTCCAGCCCCTCAACCCCCGTGTTAGGATCTGATGCCTTAAACTGTACAAAAATCCCCATTTGCCCAGATGTAATAACTGAGATTTTTTTTTCCCAAGAGGCCCTGCATAGTGTGAGAGTGAATAATCCGCAGTGCTGGTAATTTGTATGTATCTGGGCTGCTGACACCCCAGGCTGCCTGCCTGAATTTGCCTTGGTATTGGGTTCCTTCCCATGACTGACTTGTTCAGCTCACTGATCTCTCGCAATTCTCCCTGTGTAATGCATCAGGTCCCCTCTGAAGGAGGGGGTCTGGGTGGTGTTGACAGCAGTCACCCCCACCCCAGACACTCTGCTCTCACAAGGGCTGGCCACAGGATCACCAGAGGGGTTACTGTTTTCCTCCTTCACCCCATGCAAAGCAATACTTGCCTTGAAAAGAAGAAATACACAGCTTCATGAGCATTGGAGGGGCTGCTGAGAGCATGGGGAAGCAGCTGAGATCTAGTGGACACTTCATGGCAGGGGAGGATGCTGTTAGGATTCCCTATGGTCAGGGTTCCTTGCGACACAGCATTATACTCATAGAGTCAAATTCTCACTTTAGTCAAACCCCAGCTGTGATGGATGGGATTCCCTCCCCCATCTCCTGGTGGTTCTGCTCATGCTGCAGATCCAGAGAGGAGCAATGAAGGCAGCACTGCGGGACAGAAAGACAGGGAAAGAAGGAGGAGGGGAGAATATTCTGAAGTCCTGCAGTCAGCACATGATGCCGATAATTTTAAATTGGAGGCAGTGGTTTAAAAATAACTTCTGGCAGTAACAGCAAGATGCCCAAGCCCTCTCACCACCGGCCAGCTGGGGCTGGTGTCTGGTGTCACCCTGATGGGACAGCAGTGTGCCACGTGGCTGTGCTGGGCTCACACAGACACTCAACAGCACTGAGATGAGCAACCCAGACCTTCCTTCAAGTCATCATAACCACCAAGCTCCTGGGTACTGCGGTGATCTGAGGCAGAAATGCTGAAGGGTCACGGCTTAAAGGCCTTTAAAAGTGTCCTCAGGGTCCCCTGGGGTATGAGCGGTGGCACGGAGGGATGCTCCTCAAGAAACTTCCTCTGCACAAAACGGATAAGTTATGGGGTTGAAACAGGGAAATCAGCATCCCATCCCACAGCTGGCTGCTTGTGGGTATTCATGTCCAAAATTCAGGGGAAGAGGGGCTGGAAACATCCTGGACACCCCCAGCTGGATTAGGTGACCTGGCCAACAGCACCTTCAGCTGAACATCCTGTTGCAAAGGCAAAACAGTTTGTGGGCTCTCAGCCAAAATTCAGCCTTGGAGAGAAAACCATCATAGAATGCCTGATTTCCTGCTCGCTGAGCTGAGCAGCACCCATGGGTTACAGTGCACATCCCCAGGTCCACTGCAGCAGCACCTCCCCTAAACTTGAGTTTCTTCTGAAGATTTTAACTCCTTCACTGCTCCTCACCTTCCCCCCCAACCATCTCAGCATTGCTGCTAAAATATAGCTCCCTCCTGCTCTCTGAGATGCTGCTGCATTTTGGCAGCTGGGCACAACTCCGAGTTTGGAAAAGCCTGCATTCATCCTGGGGACAGCTCTTATCGAACCACAGAGCAAAACCAACCCCCATCTCCAGCTCAGCTCCTATGAAGGGCTGCTGGTGATGCCTGGCTGACAGCAGGAACACTGGCTGCATCCAGGGGGAGAAACGAGGACCTCAATGAGCACATCCAGTGCCGACCCAGCCTCTCTCAAAGCCCCTCTTATATTCAGTAATGGATTAATTTCACATTCACTGAACGATAGCAAAATTTTCCCTCGATCCCACGAAGGAGATGCTGTTCCAGCAGTTGCACAGTGTCGGTTTCTGCCAAAAAATTATCCCATTTTCCCAGGTTTTGCTGATCATACACCAGCTTGGGGTAATTTCCTTCATGCGTTATCCTCCGTACCGACGACCGAGAATGCAACAGGCAGAACAAAAGCCAGGAGCAACCCGACATTCCCAGCACATCCCCACGTTATCGCTGCGACCCAAACCCGCGTGGGCAGAGGACGGATCCGTCCCGGTAGGTGGCAGCAGCTGCCCACGCCGACCTGGAGCAGCAAGATGCTGAAGATAGGAAAAACGGGAGGAGAAGGAGGAGAGCTCCCCGGCTGGTGCCTGGTCCCCATAGAGGCCCCGCTGGAACGCGGAGCCCTGAGAGCCAGGTGGATAAATGGGGAGAAAGACAAGCAGAGAATTTGCTCCAAAGCAAAACGCACTGGGGGGCGGGGAGGGGGGGGAGGGCACGGTTAATTGGAGACTGTAATTAGAGAGAAAATTGAAAGGGAAAAAAAGGAAATCTATCCAAATCCTGTTGTCCGCTCGCTTCTAAAGTAATTGATTCTTGATCGATACAAATGAAATTTGGCTTACTCTCTTCCACACACATTGCAGAGGCTTTGTGCTGAGAAATCAGCCCAGATTCTCACCCCACCCCCCTCAATCCCACACTGCTGCTCTGCCCATCTGGCCACCCGCCCAGCATCATCCC